TTTTAGCCTACTTTGACTGTGAGGAAATAAACTTCTCTTCGTTAAAACCATCCACTTGTGGTATTTCTGTTGTAGCAGCACTAGATGACTAAGACAGATCATAAATACTTAAGTGTACATGGAGGCCTTCTTTTTACATATCTATCATGAAAAGCTTCTTCCCTTTTCACTCATTACCAAGACATTCAGAGTTAACATGTCTATTTAGATGATTTTCTGCAGTTGTGACACTCATTGCAAAAGGTCCGTATATCCTTTGCAATAGGTGATGTATTTTTTTGGCTTTCTTCTCAGTCCCAGGTATGACTTCTTTAAAAATGTCCGTCTTTACTTCCAACTATATTCTGCTTGTTTCTTCTCCTCTTCCTGGAAAGATCTTCCTGGAAAGAACTCCCAAACCATCATCTCGCATAGCAACCCTTTTTCCTCCGTAGAGTGTTGCGTTCTTTTTCTTTCCAATAGTAGCTTGTTTGCTGTACCTCTGCTTTCCATTTGGTGGAGCCCATATCCATATCACTGCAGGTCATGATATACTCTATTCTCAATTATTCAAGAAAAGATTTGGTAATAACACGGGGGCTGTCCTTGATGAACTTTTTTTTTAATTAAGTGAAAATCAATGAATTTTAGAATTCATAAGTAGCTTGGACTTATTCATGTCTCCTTTCTGCCCTGCAGGCCTAGAGATTCAGAAGCTCCCTTAACTGTTTGCTAGAAGCAGACATATTTAGGTACAATGGTAGCAGACAGAAAGTAGCAAAGCTATATAAGGGTTGACTCAGAATTTAGTGGTTTTCAAAAATAATTATATTCTCTTAAGCTTTTGTTTGTAAAACAAGATTGCATGAGTCCTGAGTATACTTGTCAAAGAAGGAAAACATGGAGGGGGTTCAGGGAGCAGGCAGCGGGTAGGCAAATGTACTTAGCACACTCAGCTTAGGTTACTATAGAAAAGATCTCTTTTCACTTTTTTGCAAAGAGATATGAGTGAGGTCTATCTAATTGTAGACTAGGCGGCCCACTAGAAGTCAGAGGATCAAGATCTTAATTCAGTTCTACCCAGATAATGTAAATACTTGAATACATCTTCAGAAGGACCAAAGTTGGTGTCTATAGATCACAAATAGAAACTCAAATTAGTGATAGAGAGTAGAAAACAGGTGTAGAGAAGAGTTCATGAGGTGACATGAGGAAGTGGGGGTCGGGTAGATTTCATCCTGTTTTACACTAGGTGGTTATTTAACCCAATGATCTTGAAATTCTTAAGGAAACTAACATTTTATGTCACTATTAAAAATTTGTTTTTGTTGTGGTGGTTACCTGTCATGGAGTCGGCTACCGACTCATGGCAACCCCACGCACAACAATAGCAGGTTAGACTATTGTGTTCCATAGAGTTTTCAGTGGCTGGTTTTTGGAAGAAGATCGCTAGGCCTTCCTTACTTTCTTCCTAATCCATCTTAGTTTGGAAGCTTCGCTGAAACCTGTTCAACATCATAGCAACACACAAGTCTCTACTGACAAAAGGGTGATGGCTGCATATGACATGCATTGGCTGGCCATCAAACCCAGGTCTCCTGCATAAAAAGCAAGAACTCTACCACTGAGTCACCAATCCCTCATATTAAAAATTGAGTCCAGGTTAAGTAATTGTATGGCTGTATGATTAGGAAAGGACAAAGAAGTGGACAGTGTTCCTCACAAAATAGTCTAGTGTGGTCCTGCTCTTTCACTTACTGCTTCCTGCTTTTCCATACTGGAATATATACATACTGGCTGGTGTGGAACCACTATAGGCTATATATGGCTAATCCTGATTTATTCACGTTAGTTAAGACATTACAATATCCGGAGTGCTTCGTCATCACTAGATTTTTAATAGCATGTTGCAAATTTTTAAGTGACAGGAACCAGCCAATAACATTGCCAAAACTAATTTTATTGTTTGGCCTGATTTTTAAAACATTGGGAAATGAGCTAGTTTTGGTTTATTTTCAACAGAAAATAAAAAAATCATGAAGTAATTGCTGAATATATTTAATGCTGAGTCCTGATGGCAATGTGTGTGGGTTTTTTTTGTTGTTTGTTTATTTATCAAACAAGTTTATTTTCTCACATCTTAGGAGGCTAGAAGTATGAATTCAGGGCTGGAGCTTTAGGGAAGGCTTTGTCATGCTGTTGGCTCTGGGAGAAGGTCTTTGCCTCTTTTCAGCTTCTATTCTTTGGCTCCTTGTTGTATTTCGTTGACATGCCATCTCTTTTCCCCCATCTCTGCTTCCTTCTCCACTTGCTTAATCTTGTTCTTTTATACCTCAGAAGGAGATTGACTTAAGACACAGGATACACTAATACTGCCTCATTAACTTAACAAGGAAAACCCTTTCCCAAGTGAGATTATAACCATATGGGTTAGGATTTACAACACATATTTTTAGAGGACACAATTCAATCCATAACACCCTCTCACTAATAACGTGTGAGAATTCCGTTTTTCCACTTTCTGAGCAACACTTGATATGGTCAGATTTTTTAATATTTACTAGTCTGGTGGGCATGTAATTGTATTTTTTGGTGTTTTGTTTGTTTGTTTTAACATTACATATATACAGAAAATGTACAGTGTTGACTAAATAACTGAGTATAAGCATCAGCACAAAGCTGGTTCACATGAGGCAGAGGTCAAATATATCGCAGTTTCTCCACTATTTCTGACACCAGCCATCCCCCTCATGGCACTGTCTTTCTCTGCTGGGTTCAATAATTTGTTGTAACAGTCACATAGGAAGAAAAGCCTGGCAATCTATAGTTTTGAAAAATCCACTGTTAAAAACCCTATGGAGCCCAGTTCTCTGACACACATGGGGTCCCCATTAGTTGCAGTTAACTCAGTGGCAACTAGTTTTGGTTTCATAGTTTAGTATATGCATTTTTATAGTTTAATTTGATCATTTATAGGTAAATTTTCTTTGTATTCTTTTGTGCTTTAATTCTTTCATTCAACATGTGTTTGTAAGATTCATCCATATTATTGTATGTAGCTTTAGTTTGTACTTCTTTAATGCTGTATGTTTCAGTATATGAGTAAACCACAATTTATTTATCCTTATACTAATTTTTAAAATATTTTATTGTATTTTAGGTGAAAGCTTACACAGCAAGTTAGGTTTCCATTTAACAATTTTTATACAGATTGTTTCCTGACATTGTTACAATTTTTATAATATGTCAGCATTGTCATTATTTCCATTCTGTTTGTTCTGTTTCCATTGGTCTAGCTTCCCTTCCCCTCCTTGCCTTCTCATCTTTGCTTTTGGGTAAATGTTGACCATTTGGTCTCATACAGTTGAGTGTTTAAGGGACTCATTCTTCATGGATGATATTGTTTCTTTTATAAGCCAGTCTGTTATTTGGCTGAAAGGTGACCTCCAGGAGTGGCTTCAGTGCCAAGTTCAAGAGTATCTTAGGGCAATAGTCTTGGTGGCTCCTTTAGTCTCTACTGGTCCAGCAGTGTGTTTTTATGATATTGCATGTTATCCTCCAAAGAAATAAAACTACCAAAATATTTGGCATTTAATGATATCCATTTATATCTGCTCTGATTTGATTATAAGTGGTTATCTCCTTCTATTTTAATGAAACAAGCGTAATTTTTTTCAACATTGTAGACAACATCTGGGGAAGATGTACGAGACTTCACAAAGGTGTTGAAGAACAAGTTCAGGTCAAAGAAATACTTTGCCAAACACCCCCGGCTTGGCTACCTACCAGTTCAGACAGTTCTTGAAGGTGACAACTTAGAGACGTAAGTTTGATTTTAATACTAAATCTTCTGTGAATACTTACATCTGATACCAGCTTTTTTTTGTTATGTTATTGACCCAAGGAAAATTGTTTAATACCAAAAAGATTTGTGTTTTGGTAAAGGCTTTCATTTTAAAAGAGGTAAAAATAAAGTTGGAATCAGTCTTCACAACATGAATTTTTACTATTTGCTTTTGACAATGTTACAGCCAAAATTTCAGGTTTAACCTTGTATGTGTTACTAAACTTTAATGTATGTATTTATCTTGGTCATCCCTGTTCCTTTTAAAAATTATTTTAAAAAATTGTGGAATTAATATGCCTTTTCATTTTTTTATTTCTTTTCCATTTTCTCCCTTTTGGGTGTGTTTAACTATTTCTTGTAGTATGTTTTGTACCTCTTTTTTGCAACTTTTTAATATAAATTTATTCATAATGCTGAGCTATTTGTTGCACATATATATATTTATGTCAAAATCTTATCACAATTTCACATGGCATTTCTGATCTCTTTTTTTCCGTTGAAGATTCAGACAGCAATTTAAGATAGCTTTAAATATTCATGAAGTAGGTGATTCCTTAAAAGTATATAATTTGAGTTAGAATGAAAGAAAAAGAATTTTAAGAACAAACCAGAAGAAATATAAGAAAATTATTTTAAATTACAGAGCAATTGTATAAATCCAAAAACTGAACCCATTGCCGTCTAGTCAATCCGAGTCATAGCAACCCTATAGGACAGAGTAGAACTGCCAGAGTCAAAATAGATATGATTTTAAATCTTTGAATCAGTTTTTAAAATGTCAGTATAAATGTTCCTACCAAGGTAATTTTCTTGTGCTTGAATCTTAGGGAAGTTGAACTTTTATTGCTTATTACCACCAGAATGCCTGGTCATGTAGCATAAAGAAATTCTAGTTAGAGAGGAAAGATATTCTCTCAAATGCTATAGAAGAGAAGTTCCAAGGTGTGAAGTATGAAGTTTTCTACTTTAGACAGTAGAGAATATTGGAGTAAGAAATAGATAAATTGTGTCCAGTGCAATTGTTGTGAAGTCAGGTTTTGTTTAACCTTTAAAATTCATAGGTCACTTTATTTTGTTTATAACAGATAAATAATCAGAGAACAGTAACATTCCAGTGAATTATGACTGTCAGAGTCTCGGAGATGTCAAAACAGAACAATAAACTATTTGGTCTGATCCCCTCCCCTCCCCCCCAATATAAAGCTGTGTAGACCTGGGGCTTTGCTAGATTTATGTGCAAATGCATCTCTTTTATTTGTGGAGCTGCTAAGAAGTAGACTGACCACAGACAAAGCATAACAGATATCTTTATCCTCTATAGGTGAGGTCATATATATGCATATAGAAAGAAATACGCAGATGTATATACAAGTAGATCCATATAAACACATACACTTGTAAAGCATAAGAAAAAATTCATGCTTTTTCGTAACTATGCTTGATAACAAGCTGTATAAAAATGAGACGTTTGCCTTCCTAGTCTTTTTTTTCCATAGCATTCTTTAGAACGGATTTTATTGAATCTATTTCAGTTTAAAGAGAGCGATTCAATTTCTTAAAATCCCTAAAGAAAGGTAGATTTTTGGTCCTTTCTTTGCTCTGGGTATATTTTTGTCCTCTTTACTTCAAAGGGTCATAATGAATGACACATTTGTATTTGTTTTTAGTATTTAATAAATAGTTTAACTGTGCTGAACACTTTATGATAAAGACAAAATTTTACTTTTCTTAGTATCAGATATAATTAACCTTTGGAGTAGCTAACTGCCTGAAGCATAAAATTATCACATGATACTTTAATTCACAGGATAATTTAATAGTTCTGAACTGAGTAATGTACCTTTTACTGTTTTGATGAACCCTTGCCATGTTGTGGCCCAAATGTCTACATCCTTCATATAAATCGTGCAGATAGATCTTTTATACTCATTTTGGACATTTTTAATAGTTTGCCTTTCAATGGCAAAATAATCATTGGCATCAACCAACCATTCTATTCTGAGTGACTCTGTTGAAGTAAAGATTAACGGAAAAGAATTTCACATGATTTGTGCTGTGATTTTGGGGTGTAACTCTGAAAGTGTCTCACCTCATCTAACATGAATTTACCAGCATTTTCAGTAAAAAGAAAACAAAAGAAAGAAAGGAAGGAGTATGAGATTAAACCAGATGCCACAAAGACCCTTATTTTAAAAGATTTGTGAGCTATTGGATCCTATAGGCAGGTTTTCTTCTTTTTTTTAATCCTAGAACGAGCTGTTTGGACTTGGTATAGTTCATTTTTCTGCTGAGCTCTTTCTAGTACAGGGCCACTTAATCTCCTGGTATAACAATTTATGTGAGTGGGTAGTAAAGAATTTGATTTCATTTATTCTCCTATCTGTGGGAGGAGAACATTGGAGAAAAATCAGTGAAGCGGTAAATGTATTGAAGTTATTTATGAAGCTGATTGGAAATTTCTTTTGCTTTTTCCTCTTCCATCCTTGCAAATTGTGATATCTTATCCTCTGTCCAGTAATTACACATGCATGCATGGATGGGACAGGGAGGGTGAAAGAGAAAAGTGAGCTATTACTAAAAAGAGGTAAACAAACCCATGCTAAGGTGTATTCAATTAATTTTATAACGGTTTATGAACGATTTTCTTTTAAATCAAAATAAATGAGTAGGACTTGATTAAAGAGTGTAGCATTGACAATAACCCTGAGAAACTGGCCAAAAAAGTAGCAAAAGTAATTTGAGAGTTGTGATAGATTGTTATTGGCTAAGAAGACAGATTGGTTTCCCTAAAGATTTAAAGAAGTAAAATAAACAACCTTTCCCTGATACTGGTTAAGGTGGAATAGATGATTTTTTCATGATTTTTTTAAGTTCTTACTCTAGCAAGAACCAGCTGATAGTAGGTGTAAATGTGACGGAGAGAATGCTGGGCTGGGAGACAGGAACAGCTAAGTTACACCTGAAAGATTAATAGGGCCAAGTGTTGAGTGTTTGATGGAGGAGGAGGAGAGGGAGAGATTCCAAGCAAGGGAAGCATTTCAAAAGCCTGGAGTTAGATAGTTGCGGGAGTGGGGGTGGAAAGCTGAGAATGGCTGCAAGAAGTGGTATTGGAGAGAATAGTGGAGTCAAGATAACAAAGGGCCTCGTAAGCCAGGAAAAGGCATTTGGAATTTTTCCTGAGAGCAGTGGGGAGCCATAGAAGGTTTATAAACAGGAGACCGCTGGGATCTGACTTACTGTGCTCTGGGGTAAACAGATTCAGGAAGGCAAAAGACCAGAAACATGAGGGCCAGTCTACTGAGAACTTACGACACTAAGAGGGTCATCAAGTCCCTTTAAAAAAGGCTGGGTTATATTCTATATAATATTAAATATATTGAGTGAAGTCTGACTCATTGCTTATTAGTGAATCTGGTGTGATTAAGCGAAGCATTCTATTGAACCTCTACTGGGGAAAGCAAGGATACGCTGCATTATTAAGTCTGGGCTAACACACAGATTGGTCTTATTTTCTTCCCTTTAATCTTAGCTTCTAGCTATTCAGTGAGGGTATTGCCTGTTTTTTTTCCCCCTTCCAGAATTAAGTAAGAAAGCTTATTACTTAACATGTGTTTTTTTCCTACAAATCAAAATAACTCTGATGTCAATGAGGCCTAAAATTTGATCTTTTTATCTTTATTTCTTTTCTTAGAAATTTTATAAAAGTATAAAAAAGCTTCTTTTGAGAAACTCTTCAGTTCAGCTTTCTTCCCCTGCCATTCTTATCTTAGTTCAATGAATCACTTCTGTGCTCACAGAATTAACTTCACAAGAACCAGTCAAGCAGTTTCAAAAAGCTTTTCCAAGTCCTATTAAGATCAAATATACACATTTTTTCCCTTCTGTTTAAAGCTCACAGAAAGTGTTGTATTTCACTTGAATTTTAGAAATAGTCTCTTGAACAGTTACTATTTTTAGAAAGTGTATAGCAAATCATTCACCTGACATTTGACATGCATATTCCAGAGTTAATGGAAAGTAGTGATGCAGAAAGAAAGACTGTTGAACAATGCTATGTTATTTCATTGTTATGTGGTATCTGCTTTATACATGGATAACCAGTTGCTATCGAGGCGATTCTGACTCATGGTGACCCGTGTATGTTAGAGTGGAACTGTGCTCCATAGAGTTTTCAATGGCTGATTTTTTAGAAGTAGATCACCAGGCTTTTCTTCCAGTGTGCCTCTGGGTGGACTTGAACCTCCAACCTTTTGGTTAGCTACCAAGTGTTTTAACCGTTTTCACCACCCTGGGACTCCTTATACATGGATAATTAAGTCAGCTTACTGTATAGATTTCTGGCATGCGGAGAGTGGATACATGCCTGTTTTTGAAAGTAGAACCCAAGAGTCTCTAGTTTTTCATCCCAAAGAAGATGCTCTTCATCTCTTTTTAGTTTTTGCCAAGCAGGGATCAACTTGGGCTTCACAGCAGGCAATAATAGAGATCATTAACTTTTTCTTAAGTGTATGTGTGTATAGTAGAAATAGGAGAATCAAGTAGGTCTGGAATAATTTAAACTTGCCTCTTTGTTTCAATCAGCATGAGCTTTTGCAGGAGGCTGTATTTATTTATTTAAATAGAGAGCTAATTTTCTTTGTACTTTGCAATTTCTGCATAACACCAGTACCTCCCTCAAAAAAAAAAAAAAATGGTTAGAGTTTGAACTAGCCTTTTACATCAGATCATTTGTTTCAGACTGTCTTTCATGGAGCCCTTGGCAGTGCGTGAGGCTGGGAGGTGCTCTAGGACTAGAGTGATAACTAAATGATCAGGCTCCAGGCCCACTTGATTCTGGCAGAACAAGTTTTGGGTTTATCAGTTTCATGCATTGGACTCCTATATATACCATTTTGCAAATATATACCATTTTGCATGAAGAAAGAGTATTGTAATCTAGAGAAGTTGGTTTCAGTTTATTGATGAGCTGAAATGTTTGGTGGAGTGTAGGGAGTGTCGGATTGCATCATTTGTTAAATATACCTGTAGAGACAATACTCACAGTCTTGTGAGACTGAGATACTTTGTGTATATGTGGGTTTCTGTAGAGCACAGTTTCAATTTTTGGATTTAAAATTGAACAAAGACTCAGACAATTTCAATCTTATTTTAGTTCTGCCATCAATATGTAATGCGATCTTTGGTATTTAATTTTTGTTGTCTCTTTGACTCGATTTCCTCTATAGGAAGGCAAAAATTATGATTGCGTCTCCCCTCAGTATAGTATGGAATGTTAAAAATTATTGTACAATGTCAAGCTATTTTAGAGCACTTTGTTTCTTTTTTTTAGTAAGACTGTTGAAAGATGTGTCTGCATCCTGTAATGCCTGTGAAAAGGCCCCTGCAGAACCTTGACTACACAGTATCTTTTCTAGATTAAACCATGACTTGTTACTTTTGATTTCTCCCTGGTGGACCTCACGGCGCCAATCATATGAGTGGAAGCCAATGGAGAGCCCCGCTCCGGACTGCTTTTGTCTTAACTGGCTCTAAAGTGTTTGTTCTGTGACTTTTGTTTCCCTTCTCTGCAGTCCTATCACTCTCATCAGTATGTGGCCAGAGCACTACGAGTGAGTATACACAGCCCCACAAATGTTCTATCTTTGTGATTAGCCTGAGGGTGATTACTAAACTCTCATTCTAAAATAACAGCTCTGCATCCTGGGTAACAATCCTAGTGATTTGTTTGCATGGCAAATTCAGTATTTAATAAGCTAACATTTCTAACAGTAACATCTGCCAACATACGAGCATAAAACTGTTGCTTTGTTTTTCCTTTCCAGCCCCTCTCAGTCTCCTCAGCTGTTTCATGATGATACTCATTCAAGAATAGAGCAGTACGCCACCCGGTAAGGAACTCGGGGAGCAACCCTCCACTGCACTGCCAGCCAGGGTGCATCTTTTTCTGCATTAATCTTATACCATCAAAATACCTTGATAGAAGAAATGTCATTTTGTAGGAGTGGTGACTCCGTTGTATTTGGAATCTGAGCTCTCATCTTCTCTTGTCGTGATTTGCACTTTAACAAACACCTGCTATATATTTTATGAAGAGTAAATCTCAATGGGATGTGATTATCGAGCTCACGAGAAGCCAAACACTATACAAACAAGATTTAGATAATGTAACCCAGTTTCAGTGAATGAAAGTAGGGTTTGAAAGTATTCTCAGTTGATGGTGTGCATATGAATTACAACATGTAATTAAATTTATGCTATTACTTTTTTATAGGGGTTTATTTTAGACTCCCCAAACAATATAAAATAGAAGCCTGTCCTGATGATGGGCACAAACTCTCAGTTAAAGAATTACGTACTAGGCATCTGGGGTGTATAGTAGTAAGCTAGATATTATGTATATAGTGCCTAGCCATGCCTAAAAAGGTTAGTGCAAGCATCATCACAATAGTAACATTTGAAGTGGATCTGTACCCAGCAGAATTTCTGGGGAAAGGCAGGCTTGGGCTGTTGGAAAAACATTTTCAAGTGCATTGAACTGGGAAAGAACATGGCTTGTTAAGGAACTGCACGTAGCAAAGGATAAAGGAGCGAAGAAGGAGAGAAGGGAGGAAGGCTGGAGCCAGATAATGAAGAATCTACATGCTAACAAGTTGGATCCCGTCCTTAGGCAAAGGGGAGCCATGGAAGGTCTTTAAGCCTGAGAGGAACGTAATCAGACTTGCGTGAGAAATTAACTCTTGCTTTAGTGGAAAACAGAGACTGGGGTCAGCAGTGTGAAGGGGAGCTTAGGCCTGGGAGATCAATTAGGAGGCTAGGTCAAGAGTCATGACAACATGGGTGTAAGACAAACGCCTACAAAAAGACAGTGGTGATAGAAATGTAACTCAAAATTAGATGTTGTCTTAATTTTAAAATCTTGTCAGGAGATTTGGGCCTTTCTGTGGCTTGTCAGAATTATGACAATTTAAGAAAGACTGAGGATGTGCTCCCGATTGATCATGCCCTTAGGTGGCCATGTTATCTAACCTCTTTATTTTCATTTTTCAGTCTGGCCCAGATGGAAAGGACCAATGGATCTTTCCTCACTGATAGTAGCTCTACCACAGGAAGTGTGTAAGTAAATCATGAAATTAGCACTGCCTGGGAAAGCTAGTGCTGACATTTATGGCTGTCGGAAATAATCTTCATTGATTATGGCTCTGAATTTTGATCCCAATCAAAATTGATAAGTGTGGTTCCAAAAATGTCCACATAGATTATATGCTTCCAAGCCATGATAATGTAAATTAGATATGTTTATTTATTTGGTTTCATATGAGTTAATGAAAAAATCCTACATTTGCCAACTAACCTGCCTTAGTAAAATCAGGTTGTTTTATTTATAACAGCAAGTATATATACTCATTCCTTTTATCTGATATTTCTTGTTTATTTAATACATGTAATTATATAGAATGCATACCCTTTCTGTAAAATTCTCTCCTCTGCTTACTTTTTCTCTGTAATCCCTGCATTTACCAACATATGACCCACGTATGCTTGGGCATACACTCCTGCCCTGTATTGAAAAGTGTTAACTCACCTACCAATGTTTTATTTTATTAACAACTCGAAAAGCCTCATTGACTTTAGAATACTTTTTTAAAAGCTTTCTAGTCAAATATCTTATCTCTGATTATGCCACTGTTGTATGTCAACTTGATTTTAGAACTTTTCCTTTTTATTTTTTTTGCCATGAAATTAATAGTTTTGATCTTGAATGATGTCTAAAAGACTTTAATAGTATCAAGTTTACTTGATTCATACAGGTTCCTTGTGGTTTGGATTCAGTGGGAAGCTATAAGGCATCCAGGAAAGTTCTAGAAAATAGTACTTGGGTGTTCTAAGACAGACCATGGAGAGAACCAAGTTGAAATACCTTAAGCTCTCTAACCTAGAATGTCTCTTTCAATTTTTTTTTTTAAATTGTTTTATCATTAAACTTATAAACGTTCTCTGGAAATTTTTCAATTTTAAATTTCAAGGATTAGCATGTTAATACTTTAAAATAATACATAGTGATATGAACATCATTATTCATGTACTATGAGAGTGGATCAGTTCTCAAATCAAGATAGTAGAGTATTCGTAATACTTTTTCATATTTAACCTGTTACTATATATTTCATGTAAAGTAGTTGAATGTCTTGAATATCTCCTAAATCAACATAATTTCCACCTAGGTTAACAATAGCCAAATTATAAAATGAAATGAAAAAATAAATATTAAAACCATAATCCTACCTCTTTAAAATGTGTTTATCGTATCCTGTGAAAAAAGTAAAAGTAAGCCTGAAATACAGTATGTCCTATCTTCAAATTAGAATAAACACTATTTACATTCAAATTTAGTTCTAATGTCTAAGAAAATAAAAAATAATCAGATAATTAATAGATAAATACACTTTAATACAGTGAAACATGTGAGAGCCAGAACTCAACAGTACTACCTTACTTTTCCTGGTCTCGCAAGTTTGCTGCCTTTGACAGGGTATAGTCTAGCCACTTTTCTGTCACTCTCTATTAGTGGAAAATATTTGAGTTTTCCTTCTCTTCACATTCAGTGAAGTTATTTTCTTGGCCATGATGAGAGAAATTAAACCACAGAAATCAGCAATTACTATTAATCAGGGTGTTTGTTTTTTTTTGGTGGGGGAGAGCATGTGGTTAAACATTTACCAGCTCACCACTGCCATGCACCCAGTACTGTGATAGGTCTCGAGGTGTAGATGTTGTCCTCATGAATCTTATAGGCTATAGGGGACATGGATGAGTGCCCCTATAGGGGAAGAAACAGGGTCAGGACATCTATGGTAGAAAGAATAATGACCCCCCCGCCACCACAAAGATGTTCACATCCTAATCCCTGAAAACTGTGAATATGTTAACTTTCATGGCAGAAGGGACTTTTCAGATGTGATTAATGATCTTGAGATGGAGAGATTATCTTGGATTATCTGGGTGGGCCCAATGTAATCACAGAGATCCTTGTGAGAGGGAGGCAGGAGGATCAGAGTCAGAGCAGGAGATGTGATGATGGGAGCAGAGATCAAAGAGAGAGATTTGCAGATGCTACGCTGCTGGCTTTGAAGATAGAGGAATGTAGGTGGCCTCTAGGAGCTAAAAAAGGCAAGGAAACGGATTCTTCCCTAGAGCTTCCAGAAAGTATGCAGCCCTGTTGACGCCTTGCTTTTAGAACTTCTGACTTCCAGAACTATAAGATAATAGCTTTCTATTGTTTTAAGGCACTCCTTTTGTGGCAATTTGTTACAGAGGCAATAGGAAACTAATAAAACATCCAACCAACAGATCCAGAGCAGTTTAAATGGAACTAAAATGGAGCTGGGTCATGAAACAGGAGATGAGGAGTGCCAAGGGATACAGCTGTAGAGGTAAACAGGGGTCAGACCACAGACTCCTGTCAAGGAGGTGAAACGTTATCTTAATAGTAGTAGGGGCCCTTGGTAGATTTTGAGGAGGAAGAATGAAGGTCATAGTTGTTCTTGGAAAGGCCACTTGAGCTGTTTTGGAATGTGGAGCATACTGGGAGTATTTCAAGACTGGAGTCCAGAGACCATTAAGGATGCAGTTGCCATAATCCTGGTGAGACAAGTTTGTAGCATCTCTTTGGAAAGGAGCACTGGGGACAGAGTGAAGCGGACAGATTCAAGACCTATTTTACAGGTAAAAATCAACAGCACTTGGTGATTAGGTGTGGACAGAATAAGGGAAAAGGGAGTAGTTAGGAATGATTAAAAGGAACCCTGGTGGCACGATCAAGTACTGGGCTGCTAACTGAAAGGTTGATGCTTCACAGCCTCCAGCAGCTCCTTGGTAGAAAGACCTGGTGATCTGTTGCTGCAAAGATTACAGCCTAGGAAACCCTGTGGAGGCAGTTCTACTCTGTCACATAAAGTCACTATGAGTTGAAATCAACTCAGTGGCACCTAACAACAACAATAATAACAACAAAGAATATTAAAAATATTAATGTAATGTCTGGGGCAAATATGTGATTAGTATTATCCCATTTCCTAAAATGAGAAATAACAAAAGGAGCAGGTTGCTGTGAAGGCACAGAGCAAGGAGGTATTGTAGTAACAGTTTCTTTATTCTTACCAATTTATACCTGTTTCTTTTGATCATATTGCAAATTTAGACACAGAACCCAAGTAGAATTCATACATGAAAACTGAACTGTATAAGCCATTAAAGAGAAATTGGTTTCCAGTGGCTACTACATTAATATTTTCTCAACGAACATGTTTATAAACCTTGTTTTGGGAGGTTCTTTGCTCTTCCACAGTTTGAGTTACTGAGCGCGCTGGGGTTCTTTTCACGTTATCATGCAGTGATTCTGCCATCCCGGTGAGAGTGCTGACAAGGAGTCTGAATCATTGACACACACCCCTGGGCCTAAAAATCAGTTCATATTCTCTGAACCATAAGTTTTCTATAGCCGTCCTCAAGAAATTAGTAAATAATTAGCTGAAGGACAAAGATAGACTGTTGACTTGGAATGCTCACTTTTTCTCCCTGAAATGTATCATATTTATTTATTTAAACATTTCCATTTCAGTCAGTGAAGGCATGTTGCTAAAGTAAATACTTCAGTATCACCATACGGTTTCAACAGTTTCTCATGACTGTCTTCTTCTGACTTGGTAATAGCTTTACATTATGTGTCCATCTTTTTCTCTTTCCTTTTCTTTTCAGCCAAGTGAAACAACTGTTTTTTAACTTATCCAAGGGAGAATCTATTGTTTAGCTAGTTGAGGGGCGAGGGCGTCTTACTTGTATAGCCGAGTACCATCTTTCCTCCGACTTCAGGTCATCCTTCTTTAGTATATTTAGGAAGACGCCATTGGTTGCATATTGCTCATTCCCAAATTGCCTCTGTGACAACAGATTCCCGACGTAGGTGTCCCTCCCTCCTCTGCTGTGGGTCCTTCTTCACTTTGCCGCTGCGTCAATGGTGGCAGCCTGGACACATGGGCCACTTTCCCCTCAAATGGATGCCATCACCTCTATAAGCACCTTCTTGAAGAACAGAGCAGTATAGAGCTGACTGCATCTCCCATATGGCGTATTCCTCCCTTACCCCCACATACCAATACAGTTAGATGTGTGGGCATAGTAGACTCCCTTGAGAGTGGTAGAAAATTAAAGAGAGAAAATATTTTAAACTATTTGCAAAAAAAAAAAAAGTATATTATTGTATCACCTAAGGCAGATTTTGGAATCCCTGGGTGGTGTAAACAGTTAACGCACCTAACAGCTAACCAAAAGGTTGGTGGTTCAAGTCCACCCAGTGACACCTGAGAAGAAAGTCCTGGTGATCTACTTCCAAAAAGTCAACTATTGAAAACTCTGTGGAGCACAGTTCTCCTCTGACAACGTGGGTTTGCCATGAGTCGGAGTCGACTCTTCCAAAGTAGTGATATATGAGATTATTATAAGTGCAACATAATCCCCCCAAAAACCCAAACCTGTTGCTATCGAGTTGATTCCGACTCATAGCGACCCTATAGGACAGAGTAGAACTGCTCCATAGGATTTCCAAGGAGCGCCTGGTGGATTCGAACTGCTGACCTTTTGGTTAGCAGCTGTAGCTTTTAACCACTACACCACCAGGGTTTCCAAGTGCAACATAAATTATTTTTTATTTTTAATAATTATATATTTAGTTTCATATGTATTAGAAAAATATATAACATACACATCAAACCAGTGGTTTTATGGATATTATTGATTAGAATGAAACAAGTAAAAATTGTTTTTGTTGTTGTTAAGTGCTGTTGAGGTTCCAACTCATAGTGACCCTATATACAATAGAATGAAACCCTGTCTAGTCCTCTGTCATCCTCACTATCTTTGTTTGAGCCTATTGTTGCAGCCACTGTGTCTGTCCATCTCACTGAGGTTCTTCCTTTTTTTCACTGACCCTCTACTTTACCAAGCTTGATGTCCTTCTCCAGGGACTAGTCCCTCCTGATAAAGTGTCCAAAGTATGTGAGACAGAGTCTTGTCATCTTCATTTCTAAGGAGCACTCTGGCTGTACTCCTTCCAAAAC